ATATCCCTGAACAGTTTGGAGTTAACTTTTTGTCTATAGTGTGAAATATGAATGTTATTTCATCATTTTCCAAATGTCTAATCAGTTGTTTTGGCACTGTTTATTAATAAGCCATCCTTGCTTTGTGGTTTGAAGTGCCATTTTTATCCTATATTTTAAGTTTCACACACAATGCATTTATTTCTGGACTTTCTGATGTGTTCTTCTGGTCTGTTTATTACTCTACCAAATAAATACACTTTTAATTATAAAGTACTTACCATGTTTTAATATCATTTATTACAGTGTATCTTAATATAGTCATAAGTATATTTTAAATAGTATTTTTTATTAAGCAGGGCTAGAATCCTTATACCTCTTCTTTTTAGTATTTTCCTGTCTGTCCTTCAGTTTTTAGTTTTTCCATGTGAAGTTTAATGTCCATTTATTTAGATCCTTTGTAAAAAACAGCTTATTGATAGTTCCATGAAGTTATTATTAGGCATATAAACTAAGAGAGGACTGACATCTTTATGAGTTTAGTTTCCATATCCGTTTAGAAGAGATGTCTTTACCTTTGTGAGGTCTAGCTTTGAGTCTTTCAGAAGTGTTTAAAGGTCTTCCTTATATTTCCTGCCAAGTTTATTCAGACTATTTCATCTTCTTTTTTGCTATAGAAAATAGTATTTTCTCCTCCATTATACCCTCTAAATAGTTACTGTTTTTTCATATGAATGCTACTGATTTTTTTTTGTTAAGTTTAGATCCTGCTACTTCATTGAATATGTTGTTTGAGTTAGTAGGAACATGAGATAGTTTTCCCCTTTGCTTCTATTTAGTGTCTTTCGCTTAACTGCATTGGCTCATGCCTTTAGTGTGGTGTTAAATGGTATGGAAATGGTAGGCATTGATTGTTTTGTTTTTGATCTTAGGAAATACCTTTAGTTTTTCTCTGTTAATTAACTTGCTGACTTTAGGCCTAAGGTCTATATCATGTTGAGAAAGTATCCATCAATTCCTGTTTCTTGACTGTTTTTAACAGATGTGGGTGTTTGACTTTATCAAAAGGATTTTCAGAGTCTTAGATGGAGATCATTACATCATTTTGTCTTCAAGTCTTTTAATATGTAATGTTATATTAATGAATTCCCTAAGAGTGAACTAGCCTTGCATTCCTGAAGCAAATCTGACTTGTTCACTGCATATTATTTTCTCAGTATGGTGTTAGATTCTGTTATTAATATTTCATTTAGAATTTTACCTTGACAAATAGAAGTGATACTCTAAAAATCTTGTCTGTTTTTATATACCTTTTTAAAAATCAGGCTTAACTATCAATGTTATGTTAATCATGTATAATGCTGATGACATTTTCCTTCATTTCACAAGGCTCAGGAATAATTTTAGAGCATTGAGATTATCCATATTTTGAATTTTTGGTAGAAATCCAATTGAAATTCTTTATCTGTGCGATAGTTGCCTGATAACTTTGTTTTCCCCTAGGAAATAAGTTTATTTTTAAGAGTATTTCATTAAGCTTTAATCAGAGTATCTTCTATAAATTATATTTCTGTGGAGAATTGCCCATGTTATCTAGATTCTCAAATTTATTTACTTAAACTTCTATAGTGGAATTTTATGATCAAAAATTTTTTTTGGTTTAAGTATGTTCCTCTTGTCATTTAATTTGTATTTTTGTACTTTTTTTTATAAATAAGTTAAATTTTTTTTTAGCTTTTTAGAAATTTGGGATTTTGATTAGATTTATTTTTTTCTTAATTTACTTAAATATCTGCATTATCTTTATGTTCTTCATTGTGCTTTTAAGTTATTAGTGTTTCTATTTTAGTTTATGAACTGGGAGCTCAACTCATTGCTCTTTTTTCATTGGTTGAAGTATTCGAGGCTATAGATTTTTTTCTAATCACTGCTTTAAATGTATTCCATAGATTGATATGTAATGTTTTAAATAACATTATTTCTTATCTGTAATATATTGACAGTGGGAAATTAAAATTATATTATTATTGTTGGGGCGATAGAGTAGGTGAAAAGATTCCCAGAAAAGCTTGTTTTGAACATTGACAAATGATAATTTCCAAGACAGCCTACATTTACTGGATGTTTACCATGTACCTATCTAGTACAGCTAAGTAGTTTATATATATTATCCAATTTAAGCTGCATGACATTGTTTTGAGGTACACACTATTTTCCTATTTCAGAAGAGGAACTGTAGCTTAGAGAGGTTTGATAATTTGCCCAAGTCTTTATAACATTAAGTTGTTATTCAAATTTGAATCCATTTCTGACTCCACAGCCATCGGTTTTACTTAGGCAGTGATATTGTGATGTCACAGAGGTACTCAACAGTATGGCATAATCAGGGAACTGTTAGCACATGTGACTGGAGTGAAGTTGGCATTAAACGGTATCATTTCTGGCTTGGCAAAATAGTTCGCTGAGGGGCTCTTAACTAAGGTGGAAAACATGAAGCAAAGCAGGTTTATATAACATGATGGGTAAGTGCAGTGTACCTACTACACAGCTAAATGTAACTGTCTGGTAATTAGGTGAGTTTATGGATCTGGAGGTCTCTAGAGTGGTTTGTGCTAGAGATGTGAATTTAGAAGTCATTGGCTTATAGGTGATAATTTAAATAACGCATTTGAAAAATGGTGAGAATAATGTGAACATAGAGAAGCTTAGAGGTAGAGAAAACAACGAAACTTAATTGAGTGGAGAAAGAGCCTAAAACGGAAACAGGGAAAAGATAGTCAATATGTTAGGAGGAAATCTAGGGGCTGGAGCTGCCATGGTGCCAAGGGAAGAATTTCAAGGAAAAGGGAGGGTCATTATAGTCACATGGTCTAGAGAACTAAAGAAAGATAAAATAAGAAGTGTTCTTTGATTTAATAGTAACTGAAAGGAAATTTAATATCTTAAATGATGGGGTCCAGTGGAGTGATGAGGTTTGGGTGAGGAAACAGAAAATGGAGACAGGAATCACTGGAGACAAAAAATTTGATGATGAAGGGAAAGTGTGATAGGGTGATGGGAGCTGGTGGAGGGTGAGGCTGAGGGCGCCTCTCACCCACTCCCCCCATTTTCCTCCCTCAACCTCTCCCTTTCCCTTCCCCTTATTTATCGTGTCCTTCTTTTCTCCCTTTCCCTCCTTCCCTTTATTCTACCCACTTTCCCTTCTTCCCCTAATATGATATACTTGAACATTTAATGTTACAGAATGAGAATTTAACTTGGGACAACATGACATCATGTCTTAGATTATGCTAATATGAATGACATAAAGAGATGTTAAAATATTTAAGTGTTAGATAGAATGATATTTTTAAGAGTTTCTTGAACCCAGGATCATAGCACACATACTCTTTATGCCTAGAAATAAATATACATGTCCAACAAATTTTAATTACCTTTGAAATAATAAGGACAATAGTATCATCATCTGGCTAAGAACTTTTAAGTATTTTAGTCCATTTAAACCTCAGCAGTAACTCTATGCCAATTTTGCAGATGAAGAAACTGAGGGAAGTTAAGTAAACTTGTCACTTGATCTACACGTGGTTTGGTAATATGGTCCCTGAGTCTATGCTTTTAATTGTAAGCCTGCATTATTCCCTCTTACTATACTGTAGTATTTATTTTCATGCCTTCAGAAATTCATTAGTAATATTTTTATTATAAATTATAATTCAGACTTAGAAGTTAGAATATTTTGATATTTTAGGGAAATCTGTTAGCATGTAGAATAGTGAAGATTACAAAAGAAGTAAGTTTCTGGAAAAGCTGTATCAAGTACAAACATGAGTTAAAATTCTAATTTTTCTGTATTTTAGTTAAAATAGTGAAATGCCTGTGTGGCAAGGTGGTAGAATACCTTATCCAGTATAGTACATAGTATATTGCTACCTTGTGTAGCAATAAAATACAATATTGCTACACAAAGAAAGTATATATAGTATAATGAAATGACCTCATAGAGTACTAATCAGAATTTGATACATTCTTTAGTGACTTTATAAATGTCTTTCTTCAGGGAAAAATGCAATTTCCACTGTGAGCTGCCTCCCATAATTTATGGTAGAACTTCGTTGACATTGCTACTGATGCCAATGTGGAATAAAGGTCTTTATAATTTGGAAAGTCAGAAGTATAAAAGGATTACTGCTAAAAATGAGTTACTCTTCTTAGAGTTTTAAAACACATAATACAATGTTTTTGAGTTTTTAGAAGGAATATTTGAAAATAAAGTAATATATATATATATGTAATCTATTTTGCCCTCATCAATGTTCTTATTTCATGCTTGGCGATTTATTTTCATGACCTTTTTCTGAGCCCTAATTACTATCTAATAATGTTTTGTTGTGAAACTAATTACAGAATTTATTTTAACATTAATTTTTCTATGGAAGTCACTCAGCAAACTAAAGTTGACGTTAACATCAAGTCTTTTGTCTGTTTCAAGAGAAGTAACACACAGACAGTTGGATTAGTTATTTTAAAGTAATTGCTATTCCTCTTAGCTCACTTTATTGTAATAAGTATTTGATGGATTTGCCTTACCTCCTGGGCCAGAACATCACTGAGTGTCTGGGTGCATCTCTCTTGCTCACCGCCGTCTCCTCCGTGCCTGGTGTCCCTGCCTGGTACCAGCAGGCGCACTTGTGCTTTTTCTTAATTAGCTGAATAGACAGGTAGTGTGTTTGAATACTTTCCATCAGTTGGAAATGCACTTCTTAGGATAATGTGTTAGTATCTACACACTAAGGCATTATGAAACAGTTCTGTTTGCCTTGGTCTCAATGGAAATCTATGTTAAATTTAGAAACACTAATTTTAGATTTCAAATAATGTTCCCTGAGGAATAAGGATAGAATCCTCATTTTCAGTCTCATTGCTTTTACTTTCCTTTTCCTTCCCCTCCCTCTACTCTCTTTCTTCCCTTCAGCCTGTCTTGTATTTTCTCTTTGACAGTCCTTTATGTTCCCCCCCCTCAGTGTCTGGAGTCCATCTTTCTCCAGCTTCTCCTGAGACTGTGCTGGACCATGACGGCTGCTCCCCTTCCGCCGGCTGCCCTTCTTCTGAGCCCATCATTCCGTCACCAGAGAATGCGTGCGCAGACAACAGCCTGGTCAGCCAGACTGTTCCTAAAGCACAGGTAGGACAAGCATATTTTTATAGGAAGTTTGCATACTTAAATTGCGTACTGATTTAATTGAAGGTTCTCTGACTCTGATTTCTTTCTTTCTTTCTTTTTTTTTTTTTTACCACCTTTTCTAATAAATATTTCTTTGGGTATTTTAACTTTGAGGCTTATATCTAGAATTTAAACAACTAAATAATATCTTGTTTTGTTCCACAAATACGAGTTACCAGAATATGGTTTGAGTATGTCATTTATTGAAATTGATTTAGCTTGCATTTAAATCTTGAACTTCAAAAGGGAAAATAACTACCAAAAAAACAACAAAAAACGATATTTCCTTTTCTATGTAATATATCTTTTGCCATATGTTATCAGGTACTAGTATGTTCATTGCAATTTTAGAAGCCAAAAAGACAATGGTCAATAGGGCTTATTCATTCAAATATTTATTGACCTAAGCATTGTGCTACATGCTGGTATCAGTCCAGATTTCCAAAGTGCTGTACATAATCTTGAGTCACCTGTTATCTTTATTAGAAAGTGATGATCAATTAGAGGTAATTGATAAATTTAAAATTCTGATTTGAAATATTTGTTTATGTCTGTCTAAAATATAAACAGATTGTGTGTACGTGTGTAAATCCCAAAATTGGTATCATATGTATTTATATTCAAGTATATACTTTTAAGCATAAGAAAAAGTTTAAAAGTTTTTTAATGCTTCGCTTGTATAATAATATGCCTTAGACTCCAAAGTTTATAGGTAATTGTGTTTCTTGCTACAAAGATGGGGTTGTTGTACCAGTTTGAGGCCTTCTGTTGATTTATTTAAAGGATGAAATAATTTTGGAACCTTTTCTATAACTTAATTTCCAAATGTGGTTTCTGGTGCCCTTTGGATGTTTTCATTATTGGTACAGTATAAACTTTTTCTCTTGTGTGTGTATGTGTTTTTTTAATGTGGTTTAGACTCAGCAATCAACACGTACTCATCTGGAAATCTCCCTTTTCCCATTACATTTAACTGATGAGAAAAGTAATGGAACCATAGCTCTTGAGGATGATTCTGAGGGCCCTGGAACCGATGCCTCAAACATACAGCTTCAGCAGAAAATTTCAAGTCTGGAGACTAAACTCAAAGTTTCTGAAGAAGAAAAACAGAGAATTAAAAAGGTATATTTACATTTGCCTAAAAAACAAATATTCGAGTTGCATGTAGTAGAAATTTGACATAATCCCAATCTCTGATTAAAAACTCTCAGCAGTGGAAGGAGATACTGTAGAAGATACCAACCCTTTGCTATAGGTTAAATCAGTTTTAGGAGTTTATCACTTTGGAAAGTCTTTGTAAGAAATCTTAAGTTTTAAATATGTACTTTTAACATATGAACATTTTCTACTAGATTTTTTTCAACTCTAAATAATGCTTTCCTTCTGGTTTGCTTTTACTTGCTTCAAACACAGGTAGTATTATGTCTCTTATGCAGAACAGAAGATTTGTAACTTTGTCTTGTCCCTATGGGAAGTCAGGCATCATGGGATATTTGCTAAGAGTACTTAGATATACAGCTGTTTTAGTAAATTATTTGTGTATGTTCTCCTACCTATAAAAAGACTCTAGAAAATTTATAGAAACTATACATAGAGATAGTTTGTGTTGACTGTATTTAGTTTAGATGCTTTTAATCGTTTATCAGCATGAATAATTTTAGTGTTATATAAATGTTTGATACTGGTCTGGAAATGAGAGGGAAGCAATACTGTTGAACTTTAAATCATATTTCCTATCAGTTCTTTCCTTACCAAATATTTTCTGGTATGTTGATTGGAAAAACTATATTTTATGCCATGGAATATTATACTATTTATGCTTGGATTTTTCTTTTAGGATGTGGAATCTTTGATGGAAAATCATAGTGTCTTAGAAAAAGATTTCCTTAAAGAAAAAGAACAAGAGGCCATTTCTCTTCAAGATAGATACAAACAACTTCAGGTAAACTCAGTGAATTAAAAATACTAATATGTAGGCCTTTTGATGAGCATATAAAATAACTTTGAAAAGTACTCAATAGATGCTTTATGAGTGAAGGATCAGATACTTGCTTAAATATGTAAAATATTGACCAACATGGATGAAATGAGTAAGAAATGGCATTTTGGAAAGTATGAATCTGTGAGAAGCTGAGGGTTAGTTGTTTGAAACTCAGTTTGGTGAAAAATATTGTTTCTGATGATGAAACTTGGAAATTAGGCATTCTAATTTTTCTTATTGTATTTACAGTTGAAATGAGCTTAGAATCCTGTAAACCCTAAACAGAGATAGATCGAAACCAGTGTCT